TAACACTTAATTAAGTGTGGATATTATCTGGATTATAACACTTAATTAAGTGTGGATATTATATGATTATAACACTTAATTAAGTGTGGATATTATCTGGATTATAACACTTAATTAAGTGTGGATATTATCTGGATTATAACACTTAATTAAGTGTAGATATTATATGGATTATAACACTTAATTAAGTGTGATATTATTGGATTATAACACTTAATTAAGTGTAGATATTATATGATTATAACACTTAATTAAGTGTGGATATTATATGATTATAACACTTAATTAAGTGTGGATATTATATGATTTTAACACTTAATTAAGTGTGGATATTATATGATTATAACACTTAATTAAGTGTGGATATTATATGATTATAACACTTAATTAAGTGTGGATATTATCTGGATTATAACACTTAATTAAGTGTGGATATTATCTGGATTATAACACTTAATTAGGTGTGGATATTATATGATTATAACACTTAATTAAGTGTGGATATTATATGATCATAACACTTAATTAAGTGTGGATATTATCTGGATTATAACACTTAATTAAGTGTGGATATTATATGATCATAACACTTAATTAAGTGTGGATATTATCTGGATTATAACTAGCTGACTTATCTTCTGGTAATGTATTTTTACTTTTTATTAGCTTACACAAGGGTGTGTTAGTTTATTGTGCAAGATACTGTTTAGAATCCTTCATCGTAAACATAACGTTTCACACGGAATGTTGTTGATCTGATATATCGAAAGCTATCGTTAGAGAAATTATAAGACAAAAATAAAAAAATCCATTTGAAAAATCACGTACCAACTACATACAAGATGGCGTTGTTGTTTAGCGTTCTCGCCCAACGGTAGTCTACCCTGCAGCGATATTCTCCAAGGTCCTCGGCTTTAACTGGCTCTATTGTCAACAATGCTGGCCTTGTACGTAAGTCGAAGTGTGCTCTTTGGCCAAGAAAATCTGATGAAAAATGCTTTGCTTTATCTAAAGATCCACTTCTACAATCCACGGTGAACAGTGGGGCGTTGATGTCCGATCTGTACCACAGTATAAGCGAAACCGAATCCTCGATGGTGGGCGGGGTAATGTTGCAAGGGAGTTGCGCTCTGCCCCCAACTATAACGTGAATAACTGGTGGAGCTAAAAAAAAAAAGGGGAAGGTGGAGTTTAAACTTCATAAGTTTTAGTTACAGGTGTGAGTGAAACAATGAAAATAAACTGTAAAGTTTTCTAATTATCTTAGCAAAACCTCAACATTACTTAGAATACGACATCAAGTTCTTTAGTATGATTTCATAATTATGTATACCAAGTTCTTTGGTATGATTTCATAATTATTTATACCAAGTTCTTTGGTATGATTTCATAATTATTTATACCAAGTTCTTTGGTATGATTTCATAATTATTTGGAATACAATACCAGGTTTCATAATTATTTATACCAAGTTCTTTAGTGAGATTTCATAATTATTTATACCAAGTTCTTTGGTATGATTTCATAATTATTTATACCAAGTTCTTTGGTATGATTTCATAATTATTTATACCAAGTTCTTTGGTATGATTTCATAATTATTTATACCAAGTTCTTTGGTATGATTTCATAATTATTTATACCAAGTTCTTTGGTATGATTTCATAATTATTTATATCAAGTTCTTTGGTATGATTTCATAATTATTTGGAATACAATACCAAGTTCTTTAGTGTGATTTCTTAATTATTTAGACCCAGTTCTTCAGTGTGATTTCGTAAGTATTTATATCAGGTTCTTTAGTATGGTTTCATAATTATTTAGACCCAGTTCTTCCGTGTGATTTCGTAAGTATTTATATCAGGTTCTTTAGTATGGTTTCATAATTATTTAGACCCAATTCTTCCGTGTGATTTCGTAAGTATTTATATCAGGTTCTTTATTATGGTTTCATAATTATTTAGACCCAGTTCTTCAGTGTGATTTCGTAAGTATTTATATCAGGTTCTTTATTATGGTTTCATAATTATTTGAAATACAGTAACAGATTTTAAATGTGATTACAAAATAGCCTGATTTCTACCTTTATGAGCAATTAATATATAGTTTTTTTTTCCGGATTGAAGAACCGAACTTCATAAAATTACGTTACAACCGTAAAAGCTAAAACCAGTACAAGCGCTTGTTCCAGAGACTCCGATATAATTTATCTCTAACATCAGTTCTAGCAGTTTCGTTAATTTTGATTCATTGGGTTTACTTTGAAAGCCCACTTTTATACTGCGATAGTCTGGAATTCTAGTAATATCAAAGCTTTACAAAGACTCTTGAAATCCTAGGAATGCTTATACTACAACCTTGTAAACTAAGAACCTTCGTCTGGAAAAATTGACCCACAACGATGGACGTGACATCTGGAAGATCATACTATGCCTAAGTGTATTTTCAACTGATATTGCCGTGACGAAGTCCTGAAATGTAGGTATTAGAAAACGCAAGACTGCGTGAGAAGGTTGATTATTACGTGATCATAGAAAACACTTTGTAGTTACAGAAATGGACTTGAAGAGAAAGTTGTACAGACAAGATTCAAAATGTTTTTCTCAAGATTCAAGTATAGGGAGGCATAAATAACTCTACTGCAAAATGAAATAAATAAAAGTTGTCAGTAACTGTTGAGGAAAGATATATCTTGAATCCTGACATTGCGGGGTAGATAATTGAAAAACAATAAGTAAACAGAAATCGTAGTCACAGAACCCAGAGACTAAACAATGTTTATATTATTCAAACACAGATACTAAAAATGTTTCGGTATTGGAATACAGAAGCTAAAAATTAACTTGAAATTTTAGTCACAAATCACCGAGGCCAAACAATGTTTGTATTCTGTGAATGAGTATTTAGAAAAACATATGTTTAAAAACATCTAAACGTATCTCTACATTCTCCTTTAAACATTTAAATCTATCTCTACCAATCTCCTTTAAACATATAAACGTATCTCTACATTCTTCTTTAAACATCTAAACGTATCTCTACATTCTCCTTTAAACATTTAAATCTATCTCTACCAATCTCCTTTAAACATCTAAACGCATCTCTACTATTCTATTTTAAACATCTAAGCGTACCTCTACCGTTTTCTATAAAACATTTAAACCTATCGCTACCGTTTTCCTTTAAACATCTAAACGTATCTTTATATTCTTCTTTAAACATTTAAATCTATCTCTACCAATCTCCTTTAAACATATAAACGTACCTCTACATTCTTCTTTAAACATCTAAACGTATCTCTACATTCTTCTTTAAACATATAAACGTATCTCTACATTCTCCTTTAAACATCTAAGCGTATCTCTACCGTTTTCTATAAAACATTTAAACCTATCGCTACCGTTTTCCTTTAAACATCTAAACGTATCTTTATATTCTTCTTTAAACATTTAAATCTATCTCTACCAATCTCCTTTAAACATATAAACGTATCTCTACATTCTTCTTTAAATATCTAAACATTTAAATCTGTCTCTACCAATCTCCTTTAAACATATAAACGTATCTCCACATTCTTCTTTAAACATTTAAATCTATCTCTACCAATCTCCTTTAAACATATAAACGGATCTTTATATTCTTCTTTAAATACCAATCTCCTTTAAACATTTCAACTTAGCTCTACCATTCTCTTTTAAATATCTAAACGTATCTCTACCAATCTCCTTTAAACATTTAAATCTGTCTCTACCAATATCCTTTAAACATACAAACGGATCTTTATATTCTTCTTTAAATACCAATCTCCTTTAAACATATAAACGGATCTTTATATTCTTCTTTAAATACCAATCTCCTTTAAACATTTCAACTTAGCTCTATCATTATCTTTTAAATATCTAAACGTATTTCTACCATTCTCCTTTAAACATTTAAATCTATGTCTATTTTTCTCCTTTAAGTATCTAAACGTATATCTTCCGTTCTCATTTAAAGAAGAATGTAGAGATACGTTTATATGTTTAAAGGAGATTGGTAGAGATAGATTTAAATGTTTAAAGAAGAATATAAAGATACGTTTAGATATTTAAAGGAAAACGGTAGCGATAGGTTTAAATGTTTTATAGAAAACGGTAGGGGTACGTTTAGATATTTAAAATAGAATAGTAGAGATACGCTTAGATGTTAAATGAGAATAGTAGAAATACGCTTAGATGTTTAAACCTACTTATTTTAATGTGATGAGTGTTTTTTATATATATACATATATTCATTTGTGCATTTGATTATTTGTAGGTGTTTGTAGGTGTTTCATAATTCCATTTTGTCTTCCTGTACGGACTCTTGTAAGAGCAGGCATATCGAGTAGATTCCCTTAACATATATATTGTTTTTTATGTCCACATATTCAATATAACATAAACTTACGTGCAGAGCTATCGGGTGCTGGAGCAGTTTTTAACTCAATTCCTGGATTACCTACAGAAAAAAAAAACTCGTAGATTTAAGATATCTCTTTTATAGGGCTAAAATCATCTTAAATATCGAGATTTAGTGAAATAAAACAGTACTTAAATCATTGATTGAACTACTTAATAACTTATTAATAAGACGTGGAGAAATTACACAGAAAGTGAACACTAAAACGAAACAAACATGCATGGAATTCTATATTTCATTACAAGATTCCTGTATCTAGTCAATCTATTCTTCTACAAAGGAATTCGCCATTCGTTTCCAAAATTAACTCTTGTCTTTTGTAAAGGTTTCCGTTTCGTAAAATTAAATTTATCCAATTTATTTAACTCAGAATTAATGATAATTATAAATATGTTTTACTTGACAAAGCCACAGAAAAAATTTTGATACCACAAATTGTCTGGTCGCGTGCTTATTGAAATCCATTTTTTTCATATCTCGAATGAATTACAACATATAATTGTAGAATGATTCATTTCGAACACATGAACTACAGCACGTAGAAGCTGTATGATGTTAGAATTTGTGCACATGAACTACAGCACATAGAAGCTGTATCGTGTTGGATCTTGTACAGATGAATTACAGCACGTAGAAGCTGTATAGTGTTGGATCTTGTAAAGATGAACTACAGCATGTAGAAGCTGTATGGTGTTGGATCTTATACGGATGAATTACAGCACGCAGAAGCTGTATGGTGTTGGATCTTGTACAGATGAACTACAGCACGTAGAAGCTGTATGGTGTTGGATCTTATACGGATGAATTACAGCACGCAGAAGCTGTATGGTGTTGGATCTTGTACAGATGAACTACAGCACGTAGAAGCTGTATAGTGTTGGATCTTGTAAAGATGAACTACAGCATGTAGAAGCTGTATGGTGTTGGATCTTATACGGATGAATTACAGCACGCAGAAGCTGTATGGTGTTGGATCTTGTACAGATGAACTACAGCACGTAGAAGCTGTATAGTGTTGGATATTGTTCACATGAATTACAGCACGTAGAAGCTGTATAGTGTTGGATCTTGCACAGATGAACTACAGCATGT